GGGCTAAAGTGATCCTCCCATCTCAGCCTCCTGAGTAGCTAAGACTACAGATATATGCCATCCAGCCTGGCTAATTTTTTTTTTAGAGATAGGATCTTGCTATGTCACGCAGGGTGATCTCTAATTCCTGGGCTCAAGCAATCCTCCTGCCTCAGCCTCTTTAGCTAATTCCCATTCAGGCTTCAGACCTTAGCTCAGTTGCTAAAACTCCAGAGAGACTTTCCTAACCCTCTGGATCTGGGAGAGAAGGCTTGTCTTTCCTCCCTTAGCCCACTGTGCTTTCTTCTGTTTCTTAGCTTCATGGGTACAAGTTCTTCCCCTGACTGGGCTGTGATCCCTCAGGGGAAATAGACCATGTTGATTTCTGTGTCCCCACGTCATAGCAGAGTATCCTGGTGCATATGGATGCTCAAAGTACATGCTTTTTTCTTTTTTTCTTTATTCAGATAACATAACTTCTTTCTTTAAAGTTTTGCTTAGTATTTTGCTATTGTGGTAAAATGTACATAACATAAAACTTACTATGTGAGTCATTTTTAAGTGTACAGTTCAGGTTCAGTGGCATTAAGCACTATCAGTTGTACAAATCAGCACCACCATCCATCTCCAGAACTTTTATCTTCTTCCCAAACTGAAACTCTGTACACATTAAACACTAACTCCCCATTCCCTGCCCACCCCTCAAGCTTCTGGCAACCATCATTCTACTTTGTCTCTACAGATAACGTTTATTCGGAAATAATTTTTCTTTCATGGCCTTGATGTTTTTGAAGAGTACAGTCCAACTCTTTCCTAGACTACCCCTACATCTGGATTTATGTCATTTCTTCATGATGATTCAGTTAGTTGTTTTTGGCAGAAACATCATAAAAGCAATGCTGTATCCTTAGTCTATTAAGATGCACAAGATATCAGTTTATCTCATTGTTGATCAAATTAACTGACTATTTGGTTAAGGGGGACAAGCCAGATTTCCTCATTGAGAGGCTCCCGTTTTCTCTTTGCAATAATTAAATGTGAGAAACATTTTGAGAGGGAGTCTCCCTCTGTACTCTGTCCCTCTGGGTGGAGGGCAGTGGCATAATCTCGACTTACTGCAACCTCCACATCCCGGGTTCAAGCGATTCTCCTGCCTCAGCCACTCGAGTAGCTGGGATTACGGGCACCCACCACACCCAGCTAATTTTTGAATTTTTAGTAGAGACGGGGTTTCACCATTTTGCCCAGGTTAGTCTCGAACTCCTGACCTCAAGTGACCTATCCACCTCGGCCTCCCAAAGTGTTGGGATTACAGGTGCGAGGCTGTGTGAATGATGTGTGCTCCAGGAAAAGTCATAGAATGCTTCCAAGTATCAGTTTCCCCCTCTGTGCAGTGTGGACAATGGTGTCCTAGACATATTACAGCTTAGGAAAGTAAAAGTGTTCGAGCGTCCTCTTGGCGCCAGCAAAAACACGCCAAAGCTGAGGATTAATTTCCTGCGCGGCCTACGTGAGGCGGGGCTGGGCGGGACGGGGCGAGAGAACGAGGACGCCTGCGCGGGGAGGAGTGATCACAGAGTCGGTCCTCCAGAGACAGAGGGGCCGGAAGTGCTCTTCATCGAGCCGAGCGGCTTTTGAGTGGCGAAGCTGAGGCGTGTATCGGGTCCGTTGGCTTCTTGGCGCTGTCGTTGCGGTAGCAGGTCCTCGTGAGGGGGTTCGGGGGTTCTGGGTGGGCACAATGGCGTCTCGGGCAGGCCCGCGAGCGGCCGGCACCGACGGCAGCGACTTTGAGCACCGGGAGCGCGTCGCCATGCACTACCAGATGAGGTATGAAGTGAGGCGAGGAGCACGGAGGCCTTCTCCTCTCCCGGAACCTGCGGGGCCTGGGGAACGACGCCGCCCGGCCTCAGGGTCTTGCTCCTCAGCCAGCCCCCGCGCACCTGCCAAGTCCCCTCCTCCCGTGACGCCTTCGGGCCTGTCCCCAATCCTGGAAAGCCCTATCGCCCCCGCGAGCTCCACCCCTTGATCCGCCCGGTGCCTTGAGGGGATCTAGCCCGCGTGGGCTCCCAAGTCACGTCGATGCTGGCCCCGGTGTGTCACCTTCGAAACCGAATTTCTAATTTGAGCCTCAGCTTCCTCATCTGCAAAGGGAGAGAAAAATCTACCTTTTAGGTTTTGGTGAAAGAGTAATCAGTAATTCGTGTGAAGAAAGTAGCATAAGGCCTACCATGTAATATATGGTAGGTGTTGTATTTTGGGCCGTTTGGGGGAATATAGACAGTAAAAGGCAGCCTTCCCTAAAGATGCCTTGCCTTAAATGAATTTTATAAACACTCCCATGTAAGGGGCATTTCTACATTCGATGACTAGTTTGACAAATATTACTGAGCTTCCAGCCATCATACACTGTGTTAGACACTAGGCTATAATAGGGGGCAGAAGCAGACGTGGTCTTTGTATGCATACTATACCTTCAATAAACAGTTTTATTTAAAAACAAAAACAAAAACTGTTCCCTGCCTTCATGGAACTTGAAGCCTAGGGGTGACTGGGTTTTTTTTTTTTTTTTTACCTTTCCACATTTTCTGTAGTAAATGATTTTAAATAAAAAGTTTAAAATTTTTACTTCCTTAAATCCATGTATCTCTCCCAGAATGTTCACGTCTTTCTCTCCCGAGTTTTGAAGAATGATAAGCTCTTTGAACCCTCATTGCCTTCACATCTCTAGGCCCCAGGGGAAGGGGGCCTCACAACTTAAGCAGGTGTTCTCATGCTAGCCCAGGGCAGAAACATTGCCCTTAGGGGTGTGAGGAGGATACATTTGGGACCTGAGAGAATTAGAAGAATAAGATAAGTATGTACTTACTTTAGATGAAGAATCTAGCTGGAGAAGTATGGGCAGCCTGAGTCCCTTTCCTCTCTGCCAATACATTCTCCCTCCAGGCTTTAATCCTGTGGTGCAGTCAGAGTCATCTTGCTAAACACAGCTCTGAGTTACTCTTCTGCCATTTTATTATTATTATTATTACTATTATTATTTTTATAGAGATGGGGTCTCATTTTGTTGCCAAGCTGGTCTCAGACTCCTGGGCTCAAGCAGTCCTGCCTCAGCCTCCCAAAGTGCTTGGATTACAGTTGTGAGCCACCATGCCTGGCCTCTTCTGCCTTTAAACTAACTCTTTCATAGTCTTTGTGAATTCATATCCCACTACTCCTCTCCTACAATGTGTTCTTGCCACATGTAACCACTTGCTTTCCTGGAACACAAATACTTATGCCTTTTTGCTTGTGTGCTCCTGCATGGAATGCCCATCTTCACTCATTCCTGAGCCTAGTTCAAATACCACCTGCCTCTAGATAGCCATCTCTGACATTCCATCCCAGGCAGATTTGATTCCTCCTTCCTGTGTTCCCATATATCTTGGAACATATATTTACTAGAAGTTTTTCACTTCATTTTCTAATTAGTTTTTTCCTCCCTGGCTTCTAAGCTGTTTTATTCAAATTTGTATCCCAGTGTCCAGTACAGTTGCCTGGCATATAGTTGGTGGTGAGAAAAATTTGAAAGGTACTTCTCCCTCTGCTCTACCCCACAGTGTGACCCTCAAGTATGAAATCAAGAAGCTGATCTACGTACATCTGGTCATATGGCTGCTGCTGGTTGCCAAGATGAGCGTGGGACACCTGAGGCTCTTGTCACATGATCAGGTGGCCATGCCCTATCAGTGGGAATACCCGTATTTGCTGAGCATTTTGCCCTCTCTTTTGGGCCTTCTCTCCTTTCCTCGCAACAACATTAGCTACCTGGTGCTCTCCATGATCAGCATGGGGCTCTTTTCCATTGCTCCTCTCATCTATGGCAGCATGGAGATGTTCCCTGCTGCACAGCAGCTCTACCGCCATGGTAAGGCCTACCGTTTCCTCTTTGGTTTTTCTGCTGTCTCCATCATGTACCTGGTGTTGGTGTTGGCAGTCCAAGTGCATGCCTGGCAGTTGTACTACAGCAAGAAGCTCCTAGACTCTTGGTTCACCAGCACACAGGAGAAGAAGCGTAAATGAAGCCCGATGGACTGCTCTTAGGGGTGAAGCCTGGACCTCCCATTGAACGAAGGGACAGGAATAGAGTGGTTCTAAAATCCCTTCTGGTGATTTTAGCAGCTGTGATGTGGGTACCTGGTGCAGACCAGGCCAAAGTTCTGGAAAGCTGTTGCAATCTGCTGAGTTGACAAAACTATAATTTATTCATGGTTGGCTAGAACTGGGTGACCAACAGCTATGAAACAGACTTCAGCTGTTTGAAGTTGGGGCATTTTGAGGTTTTTCTTTAAGAATGAGCTTCATCTTTGCTTCCTGTCAGTCATTCTCCCCATTTCCAGCCATTACCCCTTAGCCACCAAGACTGAAGGAAATAGGGAATAAATCAAATTCTTTATCTGTAGGTCATGGGTCAGGAAGCATTTGGGAAGCTGCTCCCCCTACAGGCTGTAGTCTCTTCTGCAAACCATTTTAATTAAAAATCTCAATAAAGATGGCCCTGTCCACACTGTGCCTTGTGTTTGGTGCTTGATAAGAGTGTGAAAGGTATGTTGATTGAAAGGTGTGGCCGTAGACACTATAAGATGTTGGATAAAAGCTGAGAAGCCGAGCAGTGGCCATAGAAGTAGGTTGGGCATGGGGAACCTAAGTCATAGTTCTAAGCTACAGCTGATTGGTAAGAACTACCATGGGCCAGACATTTAATCTCTCCATCTATGAAATGGTCCATTCTCATTTATCTGGCTTAGGTTATGGGCTCTTCTTTTAGTTGATATTCACATTTACCATTCAGAGTTAATGAGTCTGCTACTGTATAATTGCAACCAAAAGAATTTTAAAGTACCTCTGTTTATGGGGAGTTTATAATCCAGTAGAAGCTTGTTATTCATTTGAAATCTGTGAACATAATATCTAATGATGTGGAGCAAGTACATTAAAGACAGGGAGAGATCTGTGATTAAACCAAAGGTCCTTTCGCACCTAAAATTCAGATGCACAGTATTTATCGCATGAAAGATAGGTATCTCGTTGCACTTGACTTTATTGTCTCTGGATGATGCCCAGATCTCTAATTGCGGAGCTCTGCCCTCTCCAGAGTCATAGTCATTATTTTGTACTATAAACATTATGTATGTACTTGGTGACTATTACTGAGTCACTTTTTTTTTAAGGCAGGATTTTATTTCCCTCATCCAGGCTGGAATGCAGTGGCGCCATCTCAGCTCACCTCTACGTACCAGGTTCAAGAAATTCTGCCTTGGCCTCTCAAAGTGCTTGGATTACAGGCGTGACCATTGTGCCTGGCTGACAGTACTTGCAACTCTGAAACCTCTTCCTCTAGATGTCATAATTATCATCTCAAAATCAGTATGTCCCAAACAGACCTTCGCCTTTCTGCCTCATACCCATTCCTCTTCCTGCATCCCTGTGTCCGAGTGAGTATACCAAGAGTACAGCTCGGAATCATCTGTTCCATGATCATTAAGTCCCTACTATGATCTGTGGTACAACTTAAATGCCTTAAGCTCTGAGATTTCCAAAGTGGTCCCAATCCATCAGTCCTGCATTATTTCCTAATACCTACAGTCTCACACTGTCTTACTCAACTAAACCTCTTATGGATCCCCATATAGGTTTCATGGTTTCCCAGTTTCCTTTGCTTAAAAATTTCCCTTTTCTGTTTTTACATTGCTTTATTAATTATCCCTTCAGACCCAGTTAACCCAGTTAATATGATAATTCCTGAGCTTTCTGATTCCTTCATTCAAGGAACATGAATTCTGAGTTTGTTTTTTTTTTTTTTGGCGACAGAGTCTCCCTCTGTCACCCAGGCTGGAGTGCAGTGGCGTGATCTCAGCTCAGTGCAACCTCTGCCTCCCAGGTTCAAGCAGTTCTCTTACCTCAGCCTCCCTAGTAGCTGGGTCTGCAGGCATGTGCCACCACACTTGGCTAATTTTTGTATTTTTAGTAGAGACGGGATTTTACCATGTTAGCCAGGATGGTCTCTATCTCCTGACACCGTGATCTGCCTGCCTCATGATTACAGGCATGAGCCACCACGCCCAGCTTTTGAGTTCTTATTTTACTGATTTTAGGTACTGCACGAGAAGTGTGAAAAACACATGCAATTCTTTTTATTTTTATTTTTTTGAGACAGAGTCTTGCTCTTTTCCCCAGGCTGAAGTGCAGTGGGGTGATCAGGGCTCGCTGCAACTTTCCCTCCCAGGTTCAAGTGATTCTGCCTCAGCCTCCTCAGTAGCTGGGAGTGGTACCATGCCTGACTGATTTTTGTATTCTTAGTAGAGACAGGATCTTACCATGTTGGCCAGGCTGGTCTCGAACTCCTGACCTCAGGTTATCGTCCTGCCTCATCCTCCCAGAGTGCTGGGATTACAGGCCTGAGTCACTGTGCCTGGCCTTACATGCATTCTTGATAGAATTATTGTAAACTAAAGTCAGGGTGTATTTCACAGAGGATAAAACCATACTGAAGTAGAGATGAAATTTGGAGAGCAGAAGTAGATGGAAATATATGGAAAATGGAGTTAGTATGTGCACCAGACACAGATTGCTCATTTTTAAAGAATTGGGATGCAAATAGTTTGAAATTTCTTTGGTTACTGGGATTTGTTTTTGGAGACAGAGTTTCGCTCTTGTTGCCCAGGCTGGAGTGCAGTGGCACGATCTTGACTCACCACAACCTCCGCCTCACAGATTCAAGCCATTCTTCTGCCTCAGCCTCCCGAGCAGCTGGGATTACAGACATGTGCCACCACGCCTGGCTAATTTTTTGTATTTTTAATTGAGATGGAGTTTCTCCATGTTGGTTAGGCTGGTCTTGAACTCCTGACCTCAGATGATCTGCCTACCTCAGCCTCTCAAAGTGCTGGGATTACAGGCATGAGTCACTGCACCCAGCTGGAATGGTACTTTATGGACTTAAGAGTACTGTCAAAGGCCCATTATGAAAATTATTGTCAACAATGCAAACCACCCAAAATCATTTGGTTTATGTTAGTTTTCTGCTTTTTAGGTTGTTGGAATTCTCCTTTTACTATTACTTTTTCCTGTCTCATGGTTGTAGTGTTCCCTCAAGCAAACAAGATTCCCTTATTGGATCTTGATTTAGTAGAAAGAACATTATTTGAATCAGAAGACATGTCAAGTACCAATGCTACTACCAATCATAGGACTAAATCAGCCGTCCGTATTTCACAGGTTGTTTAAAAGATCAAATAAGGTGGCTGGGTGCAGTGGCTTATACCTGTAATCACAGCACTTTGGGAGGCTGAGGCAGGCAAATCACCTGAGGTTAGGAATTTGAGACCAGTCTGGCCAACATGGTGAAACCCTGTCTCCACTAAAAATACAAATATTAGGTGGGCATGGTGGGAGGTGACTGTAATTCTAGCTACTCTGGAGGCTGAGGCAGGAGAATCGCTTGAACCCAGGAGGCAGCGGTTGCAGTGAGCCAGGATCGTGCCACTGCACTCCAGCCTGGGCAACAGAGCAAGACTCTGTCTCAAAAAAAAAAAAAAGATCAAATAAGGTGAAATATTGTGAAAGTGCTTTATGAACTGTATAGTACTATACAAATGTGAAAGATGGTTATTTATTTCCTGATATTTATAGGACTAGAGAATATAGGAGTTGAAGGGATTATTAGAGATCATCAAGGCAATGTGGTATAGTGGAATGAACAGTTTCCTTTTTTTTTTGAGACTCACTCTGTCACCCAGGCTGTGCAGTGGCACAATCTTAGCTCACTGCAATGTGTGCTCACACTCGGCAAATTTTTGTAGAGAAGGGGTTTCACCATGTTGGCCAGGCTGGTCTCAAACTCCTGACCTTAAGTGATCTGCCCACCTCGTCCTCTCAAAGTGCTGTGATTACAGGCATGAGCCACTGTGCCCAGCCAACAGTTTCTGATGTTAGACTGACGACATAGGTGTGAATTCCAGCCAGACGTTTTACTGACTTTTGCCTTGAGTAAGATACCTGAGCCTCTGTTTTTGATCTGACATGTGGGCATCATTTTAGCTACCCCCAGGATTGTTCTGAGGCTTAGATAGATAATATGTATGAACAGGCTAGTACATAGTTGGGGTTTAATAAGTAACAGTGCCTTCCCTTGATGAGCAGTGTTGGCTTCCTCACTAAGACTGGGGAGTCTGTACCTCTAAGCAATAATTTCTTGCCTCAGAATTCTGGAGGTTGCCTAGGGTTGGTGGCTCATACCTGTAATTCCAGCACTTTGGGAAGCCAAGGCAGGTGGGTCACCTGAGGTTGGGGGTTCAAGACCGGCCTGACCAACCTGGAGAAACCCTGTCTCTACCAAAAATACAAAAATTACCTGGGCATGGTGACACATACCTATAATCCCAGCTACTCAGGTGGCTGAGGCAGGAGAATCGCTTGAACCCAGAAGGCAGAGATTGCAGTGAGCCGAGATCGTGCCATTGCACTCCATCTTGGGTGACAGAGTGAGACCCTGTCTTAAAAAAAAAAAAATTCTGGAGGTTGATTTTTCTGGAAGAGCAGATATAAAGAAGGGATACTTGCCCACTCTTGGTTTACATTGATCTAATTAGTGGGCCTTCCTGCCCAGGGTTCCCTATCAGTGAACAGAGTTGTCCCAGAAGACATTAGAAATTGGCCATTACAGAAAGAATGTGGAGCTACTGTTCCATGGTCTGAGCAGAGTTTATGCACAGATAAGGCTGGGACAAGAAAAACAGCTGCCCAAGGTCCCCACAGTGCACTCTATCCTAAGCATGTGCAGGGGCCTGCCAGGACTTCCTGAGCTCCCCACTTGGTCCCCAAGTAAAGGCTATTAAGCATGAAGTCTTGGTCAGCTCATTTTGACACAAACTACAGCTGGGTCAGGCCTTTCCACCTGCCAATAAGACGGGGCCCTACCACACACCTTTGTTGCCTTTACTCTAATTGGCCACCTCCTATTCCAGCCACAGTTACTCCTCCCTTATTGACACTTGCCAAACAATCCCAACTCTCCTACAGGTCTAACCACTGGTAACTCATGATTATAAGATCTACTTTCCTTTCTTTCCAACAATTTCAGTTTCTTTCCTTACATTGTTAATCCTGCCAATTGTATTGCACTGCTAAGTTTAGTACTTTCTGAGAACTACATGGTGCAGAAACCCTCTGATCTCCCTAAGTAGTATGTTCTGGCGGAAAGGGCCAGGAAGACATAGTGGTAATGTGATATAGCTGGCCTAGAGTTAGAACCTGAACAATGCCATTTTATAAAAGACAAAACTGTTTTTAAAATAAGTTGTAAAGGCTGACTGCAGGCCTTGGCTTCTGTAAATAAAACTGCTAGTTTACTTTGCAGAATGCAAAGAGGTAAAGCTGCTTACCTGCTTTTATCAGTAACTGCCAGAGTTGCTAGCCTTTGCTCACCGGTAATAAACAGAATAAGCAGTCCAAGATAATTCCATCCTGGCTCCTGCAACTTGTAATGGGTAACTGAGATCTGTGATTCCCACCCTACCCAGATAATATATAAACTAATGTTTATCTTGCTTCTGTAAACCACTTAAGTAACAATCGGAATGACAAAAGTCCCCTGGCCCTTGGAATGTCCGGAGCACCCCCCCAACCCTTGTCTCAGCCCAGGAGGTGATTTACAGAATCCACTAGCCCTCGAAATGACTGAAGCCTTTCATCCTCATCCCCGCTCCTCACCCCCACTCCCAAAGTGGTTTTACGGGTATAAAAAGGTCTTGTCACTCTTCTTTCTCTGCCACGGGTTGGAGAGACGTAAGTCCTCTGTGGTTGCCGGCAATAAACCCTGCAATTTGGCATACTTTGTCTTGGTGTTGACTTTCTATGCTCAGTCTGGTATGACAGTAAGTCCCAGATGAGAAAAGTGAGGCTCAGAGTATAATTGACAGGGATGGGAACCTAAGCCTTCTGGTCCTTCCTCTTAGACACCATCTTCTAGGCCTCATACTTCTGAACTTCTCACAGTGCTGCAGCATTCAGTGCTCTCTGATCTATTGGCAGGCTGACTGGTAGATTTGGCAGCCCTTTTCCTCCAGTGACTCCAGGGAAAGTACTTGCATGCCTTCTGGGGGCTTCCACCAACACAGGTGTGAAGTGTGTGTGTGTGTGTGTGTGTGTGTGTGTAGGAGACAGAGACAGGGCGTGTGTGTGCACAAGGGTGCATGTCAGCCACATTCACAGGCTTCCAGCTAGCTCTGGAAGAGACATTTTTTTTTGCACCTCACAGTGTTGTCTTACAGGTAGGATGCCTGGGGGGATGGGAGCAGGTAGGGAGGGTTAGAGGAAAGGCTTTTTCCAATCTCGCTCAGACCTAAAACTCATTCTGGCTTTACCTAACCATGATGCAAGCTGCCTGGGTGGGACAATGTGGGGAGGAACTCCAGAACATAGGAGAGAGATCAGCAAATGAGGGGCTGACTTCAGCTCTTAGCTGTGTTTGGACTTTACCTAATCTTCCTATTTCCCAGTCTGTAAAATGGGGTAATAAGACTGAACTCAAGGGTTGTAGTACAAATAAAATAAACGGGGCAAAATGTATGACCCAGAGCCTGATAGTAGAATTTCAGCAAATGTTGATCCCATCCCTCCCCATCCCTAGGTTGTACCAGAATTCACCCCTGTGCTTCTTACCTTAAATACTTTTTGGAACAGTGTCCACAATAAATAAACCAGCAAGACAATAAATAAAATACACACCTCCTTTGCCTTCCCCCCATTTCTTCCTCATCTTTATTCCTTTTACTTTTCCAGTGGGTCCTGGAATGCTGTTTTTCTTTCCTTTCTTTCCTCTTTCCCTCTCTCCTCTCCTCCCGTCCTCCCTCTCTTCTTCCCTCCCTCCCTTTCTTGCTTTTTCCCTCCCTCCCTTCTCCATTTCTTTCCTGTCTTTATCTCTTTTCTGCTTTTCCTCCCATAGCTTAACCAGGAGAAATTAACCAATATTTTCTCTGTGAGAGATCAGAAGATAAGAGTTAAGAAAAAGAATTGTTTTAGAATAGAAGCAAGTTTCTCACTTCATCCCTCCAGCATTAGAAAAACTCAATATTGGCCAGACGCAGTGGCTCACAACTGTAATCCCAGCACTTTGGGAAGCAGAGGCAGGAGAACTGCTAGAGGCCAGGAGTTGGGAGACCAGCCTGAGCATCATAGCCAGACCCTGTAGCCAGGCAAAATGGCATGTGCCTGTGAAAAGCGGATTCACTTGAGCCCAGGAGGTGGAGGCTGCAGTAAGTGGTGACTATGCCATTGTCCTCCAGCTTGGGTGACAGAGTGAGGCTCTGTCTCAAAAAAAAAACAAAACATAATTTATATAGCTCTAAACCACTGTGAGTTAGGTAGAATTTGGGGGAAGACTCCCTAACCTATTCTTTGTATGTCAAGCCACCCTTTCCTCCGTTCAGATCTTACTGTTTTATTTGCAGAGATAGGCTTCAAGGCGAAAAGGCAATAATGTATTAGGGTCTATGCCAGACAGACTATTCCCAGAGCAAAGGAGGATGAGGCCATGGGAGGGGGGACCATAGGCTGATAGAGAATTGGGATTAGGCACAGCGGCTCATGACTGTAATCCTAGCACTTTGAATGGTTGAGGCAGGTGGATTACTTGAGGCCAAGAGTTCAAGACCAGCCTGCCCAACATGACAAAACGCTGTCTCTACTAAAAATACAAAATTTAGCCAGGCGTAGTGGTGCACAACTGTAATCCCAGCTACTCAGAAGGCTGAGGCACAAGAATCATTTGAACCTGGGAGGTGGAAGTTGCGGTGAGCCAAGATTGCACCACTGCACTCCATCCTGGGTGACAGAGGGAGATTATCTCAAAAGAAAAAAGGCCTGGTGCTGTGGTTCATGCCTGTAATCCCAGCACTTTGGGAGGCCAAGGTGGGCTCGGATCACCTTAGGTCAGGAGTTCAGGACCAGCCTGGCCAACATGGTGAAACCCCGTCTCTACTAAAAATACAAAAATCAGCCTGGTGTGGTGGTGCACAGCTGTAAGCCCAGCTACTCAGGAGGCTGAGGTGGGAGAATTGTTTGAACTTGGGAGGTAGAGGTTGGACTGACCCGAGATTGTGCCGGTGCACTCTACTCTGGGTGGCAGAGTGAGGCTCCATCTCAAAAAAAAAAAGAATTGAGTTTCGAGGGCCTAGCAGAAATGGAGCTCCCTGGGCTATAGACTTTGACCTTGACAAAGTCATTTTCAGTCTGCTTCCTTATCTCTTTTTATGAAATGAAAACAATAATTATCACCTGTCTCACAAGGTAGGGTTAGAAGGATTAAATATGAAAGTGTTTTGTGAAGTGTGAAACAGATAAACTACGTAGTTGAAATGTATCGTGACATTTATTCAGTTACACAGCACATACTTCATGATATCCACTGCTAGGCTTAGAGAAACAAAGAATAAGAGTTTTTATCCTTTCATGAACTCAAAAGCTAGAGGATATTTTTAGGATAATGGGTAGGATGCAGCCTTCAGACAATGAACCTAAAGACTGGAATAGAAGTGGCCAAAAGCAGGCTGTGAGGCTACTGAAAGGTGGTCTAGATTGAATTACAGGAGGACAATAACAATCTCAAGATGCCTTGACCTGGTAGATGTGCCCCAAACTTTTTTTCCAGTGTGTGTGTTACCAAGGTGAGGGCTGAAGCAGTTCAAATGCTCCATGAGGGGGAGGAAGCTGTGGGATGATGGGGAGGGTTCCCACAAAGATGAAGCCTCGTCAGCCTTTCTCCAGCACCGGAAACCACAGGAAACCAGGTCAGTGCATGGGGCCCACTCCCTCTGCTCCAGGGCTCAGCTATGAGTTCTGGGGCTTCCTGATCAGGCTGTAGTGACTATTAGGTCCTTGAAGCTAGAGGCCCCTTTGGCATGGAGCCCTTTGCCTAGAAGAGCTGGACCTGGCTCATGGGTAGAGAGAGCTCGGTTGTAGTCCTGAGAGTTAACCAGGTGGGAAGCCCAGATACATATGGGGTTCATGTGCATCCTAGAGTGCTTTTTTTCCTCCCTTCTCTAAATGGTGCCTCAGTCACCTCTGTGTCTCTAGCACCCAGAGATCTGTTAATTCTCTTAGTAAAGGGGTTAAGCTCATGTCCATGGGAGACACAAGTTCAGGACTGTGCTAATGGGTGGGTCAAATCTGCAGTGTGTTTCAGGAGTAGGAGGGGCTAAGAAATGGGTGAGCCCCCCAACTTGATGCTAGCACCTTTCCTGTTACTTCTCAGCCACAGCAGGAGCCCCTTGTCTTTCAGGTGGGGGCAGTAGGGTTTGGGGGGGCACAAACCTCCTTTAGTCCTTCCACTTGGAGGGGAAGGAATGTGGCCTGGCTGGGTGGTTAGGATAGAGGAGGAGCTTTCGGGCAGGGTGGGGCCAGGGCGGGGCCAGGGCAGGCTCGGGCAAGGGCTCCAGCTGGTTCTGTGTTCTTTGCTGCTGCACAGCAAGGCCCTACCACCCACCTTCAGGCCATGCAGCCATGTTCCAGGAGCCTTAACTGCATAGAAGCCCATGGGGAGTTCCAGACCAGCAGCCCTGCTCCTGCCTCTCCTGATATTCATTCACCTCTCTGACTCTGCTGGGATTGGCTGTCCCCACCTGCCCCACTGGAACACCTGGGGTCCTCTGGCCTCCCACATGGTAAGGTGCTGCTGCCAGGTAGGGACACCTGCCTGGCACAGCCATAAAGCTCTCTGCTCCCCTGCCTGCCCTGTGCTACCTACCCGGTCCCTGTGCCACCTCCCCTGTCCCTGTGCTCTGGTGACAGCTTTGGTGTATCCTCTACATAGTCTCAAAGGGGTAGCCAAGGTCCTTTGTGCTGAAGGCCTGGACGGGGTGGAGCTGGGAAGAAAAGAGCCAGAGGGTATGGGCTATTAGCTATGGGGCTCAGAATTCACTGATTTGTGGCAAAGAACCCAGGAATGCTCCTTTTGGGAGTCCCTCCTAATAATAGCTCTTTCCTTTCTTTTCCCTGCTGGGCCCTTTGCCTCAGGATGACAGTTTCACTGGTGAGTCGCATTTCCTGCCCCATTGCTCCTCCACATACCCGCTGTTTTTCCAGATGCCCAGCAAGCCCTCCATTCTAATTTTTGGTTCCCAACCTGGGAAGTTGGGAAAGAAAAAAGTTTGGAATCATGACAAGCCTGGATTTACATTGCTGTTCTGTCAGACTCCCATGTGGCCTTAGACTGTGCACCTACCCCCTCCAACTGACCCTCAAGTTTCTGAGAGGTAGCAGCATAGTAGAAATGATTGTACACTAAAATATAGTGTTGCTTCTGATTTGTAGGGAGGATTAGATGAGAGACATGGGTAAATCTCCAGGCACTCCGTAAATGTTGCTTCCTCCCCTTAAGTGGTCCCTCACTTCTATCAGTAATACAACAATAATCCTGTTTTATGGTATGTTCTACTTCACAAGACATTTTCCCATGCACTATTTTGATTTTTATAACAGACCTGCATTATGAATGAGGAATTTGACCCTTAGACAGGTCCTGTAACCCCCAAAGTCACACTTCCAGGATGTAAGTAACAGAGCTTGGCCTCAAATCCAGCTTGTCTGAGGTAGGAGGAACCTTCTTAGACCCTATCATTTGCTTTCCCTTCCATCTTTCCCAGGAAGTTCTGCCCATATCCTTTGCCGCACCTGGTGGGCCTGCTTCTCCACAAAGCGTTGGTGTACACGAGTCTGGCACTGTTCCCGCTGTTTGTGCCAACATCTACTGTCAGGTCACTCAGGTATGAGAAACAGCCCCTTGGACCATTCTCAGTGAAGAGATGAGTTGGTGACATTCTGAGGGGCCACCTAGGCTGAGGCAAATGGGACTTACTAGAACAGGTATTTTTCTTGTTTTAACCTCAAAAGGGACTTGGATCATCCTAAAATAACATGCTATGACGGATATTCACAAGAGCAGTCGTACAATTTTGTGAAGGTATTAATTTTTTTCAGCTGAGATTCTTGGAATTAAAAGCTATGAATTTACTGTTATTACCTTCTATTTGTAAAGCAGGATCTTCTTTCTTATTCAACTCTATATTTTAATTGCTCAGCTCAGTGCCTGGTACATACTAAATGCCCTTGCATTCTTAAGAATTGGCAGTTTCTGGGCCAGGCACAGTGGCTCATGCCTGTAATCCCAGCACTTTGGGAGGCTAAGGCAGGCAGATTACCTGGTTCAAGACCAGCCTAGCCAATATGATGAAACCCCGTCTCTACTAAAAATACAAAAAAAATACCAGGGTGTGGTGGCAGGCACCTATAATCCTGGCTGCTTGGGAGGCTGAGGCAGTAGAATCGCTTGAACCCTGGAGGCAGAGGTTGCAGTGACCCGAGATTATCCCATTGCACTCCAGCCTGGGCAACAAGAGTGAAACTCTGTCTCAAAAAAAAAAAAAAAAAAAAAGAATTGGCAGTTTCTGGGCTGGGTGTGGTGGTTCATGGCTCTAATCCCAGCACCCTGGGTGGCCAAGGTGGGGAGATCGCTTGAGTCCAAGAGTTTGAGACCAGTCTGGCTGACATGGCAAAACCCTATCTCTACAAAAAATAATACAAAAATTAGCTGGATGTGATGGTGCACACCTGTGGTCCCAGCTACTTGGGAGGCTGAGGTGGGAAGATTACCTAACCCCAGGAGGCAGAGGTTGGAGTAAGCCAAGATAGTGCCACTGCACTCCAGCCTGGATGACAGAATGAGACCCTGTGTCAAAAAACAACAACAACAAAAAAGAATGGGCAGTTTCTAATTTTTCTCATTGTTGCTGTTAGAAATAATGTGATAGGGCTGGGCACTATGTGGCTCATGCCTGGTAATCCCAGCACTTTGAGAGGCCGAGGTGGGCACATCACCTGAGGTCAGGAGTAGGAGTTTGAGACCAGCCTGGCTAACATGGTGAAACCCCATCGCTACTAAAAATACAAAAATTAGCCAGGCATGGTGGCACATGCCTATAATCCCAGCTACTTGGGAGGCTGAGGCAGGGGAATTCCTTGAACCTGGGAGGTGGAGGATGAAATGAGCTGAGATCACACCACTGCACTCCAGCCTGGGCAACAGAGCGAGACTCTGTTTAAAAAAAAAAGGAAACAAATAATGCTACAGGCCAGGCGTGGTGGCTCACACCTGTAATCCCAATGCTTTGGGAGGCCAAGGCAGGGAGATTACTTGAGTCCAGGAGTTCAAAACCAGCCTGAGCAACATATTGACACCCTATCTCTATGAAAAAAATGCTTTTTAAAAATTAGCAATGCATGGTGATGCTTGCATGTACTCCCAGCTACTTAGGGAGGCCAAGATGAGAGGATCACTTGAGCCCAGGAGTTTGAAATCACCCTGGACAACATAGGTAAACCCTGTCTTAACAACAACAACAAATTTAACTAGCTGGGTGTGGTGGCACATGCCTGTAGTCCCAGCTACTTAGGAGGCTGAGGTGAGAGGATTGCTTAAGCCCAAGAGTTCAAGACTGCAGTGAGCAATGATTGTGCCACTGCACTCCAGCCTGTGTGACAGAACAAAACGCTGCCTCCAAAAGAAAAAAAGGAAAGAAAAAAAGAAAGAAAAAAAATGCTAAAATGAATATCTTTGTATATCGTTTTTTTCTATACTTAAGAAATTAATCCTTTCTTGATGGCATCATAATTTTCAAGACTAAAGAACTTGACACCCTTACCCTCCTTGATTTAAAATGACTTGTTGTCTAACACTGGGCCACATCTCCAGGTAGAGGAGGGGTAATGGGGGCTAAATAGTAAATATGTCTCCCTGCCCCCCACACAGGTCTTAAGTGGGGCTTCTTCAGCCTCCTGGTGCAGAAATCCAAAAAGTCTTCCGAATTCAAGTTCTGTAGGAAACAGAAGATCCCAGCACCTGCTCAGGTACTCTCCCTGTCAGTTTCAGCCCTACCCAATGCCCCACAGACCTTTGCTTTCTGGCTTCTCATTTTGTTCTCCAGCCATGTGAGACAGTATGGAGATAAAGTATTCTGTCTATTACACAGCTAGGGAAACTGAGGCCAAAAGAGTTTGAGCAACTTGCCTGCAGTACCTCGGGTTCCAGAGGCAGAAACAGAAGCCAGGTTTCCCAGTTCCTGGCCTGAGACCAACCTTGTTCTCTGCCTTTAGAGGAAGCTGCTGCGTAGTCGTCGCCTGTCTGAGAAGAGCCATCACATTTCCATCCCCTCCCCAGATATCCCCGGATTTCACTCTAAAAGGACCCAACCTTCGGATCCAGAGGCATGGAAAAGTCTTTCTAGATTGGACTCACAAAGGCACAGAGGTGGGGACAGGGTGGAACAGGAGATGGGTTCAGCTGAATGGTACCGATGCTAAGATCAAGAGATAAGGCCACTGAGTCCTTCCTCTCCCCAGGTCCTGAGTTCTCCTTTGATTTGCTGCATGAGGCCCGGGCTATTCGGGTGACTATACCTTCAGGCCCCGAGGTCAGTGTGCGTCTTTGTCACCAGTGGGCACTGCAGTGTGAAGAGCTGAGAAGTCCCTATGATGTCCAGGTATGGCGTGTCATCCCCCTATAAAAAGCCCGATCACACAGTGCTGCTAGCAAGAGAGGCCACCCACTGTGCAAATGGGGAAATTGAGGCCCAGAGAGGGAAGGTAAACTGTCCAAGACCTCCTTACAAACTGAAGGCTCTATCAGTAAGACTTATTTGGACCTGGCATGGTGGCTTACACCTGTGGTCCCAGCACTTTGGGAGGCCAAAGCAGGAGGATTGCTTGAAGCCAGGAGTACAAGACCAGCTTGACAACATAGTGAAATCCTGCTGCAGCATTAAAAAAAAATTTAAAAGAAAGACTTCCTTGGACTAGACAGAAAAGGCAGAGGGCCTTTTCACCTATAAGAAAAGGAAAGGAGGCAGAGACCTGGAGCAGCTATGAATGACCATAAATGAGCAGAGAAATTAGTATGGTATTTACCCCCAGTAAGAGGATCCTCAGTGTGACTCAGGCATTAAGAAGCCTTTTCTTGAGCTTCAAGTTAGTAACAAGTAAGAAAAAGGAATTGTAATTAAAAATTTAAGGTCAGGCACAGTGGCTTATGCCTGTAATCCCAGCACTTTGGGAGGCCGAGGCGGGTAGATCACAAGGTCAAGAGATGGAGACCATCCTGGCCAACATAGTGAAACCCCACCTCTACTAAAAATACAAAAATTAGCTGGGCATGGTGATGCACACCTATTGTCCCAGCTACTTGGGAGGCTGAGGCAGGAGAATCGTTTGAACCCACAACGCAGAGGTTGCAGTGAACCAGAATGGTGCTACTGCACTCCAGCCTGATGACGGAGCAAGACTCCATCTCAAAAAAAAATTTTTTTGAAAAGCCTTTTTAGTTCCCCTAAGAGGTTGTTCCCCCAGAGAACATAACAAAATGGTCACATCTATCTTGGTACCCTTCCATCTCCTTCCCTTTGTTCCTGTCTCTCAGAGAATGAGATGTCCCCCATTCTTCCAACCTGGGCCCTAGCATCCCACCTCAACCTCCCTTTCTCATGAATGTCATTGTATACAGTTGGTACCATTTGCAAGGACTGCCGCTGTACCCCTGAGCCCTCAGTTCTCTACATTTTTATAACAGTGAGGATACTTCATAAGGTCACTGTGATGCTAGCATGGAATTAATTGATTTAATGCTTCTAGCACCCACCACACTCCTTGGCATATAGTAGGGCCTCAATAAAGGAATGTATTCCCAGTCTCCTTCCCCCCAGCTCCTCCTAGAGCACCTAGAGCTAATGATCAGAGAATCTTTGAGAGGAGTTCTTCGTACAAGTATCTCATATAAGAGGGAAAATATGGTGTGTTTTGACCAAGATCCCAGGTCCCTCCTGCCCTATCTATGTGCTATGATCTTTCTCAGGCATCTTTTGTCTTCCTTTCGTGCTTCATCCACAGAAAATCGTGTCTGGGGGCCACACTGTAGAACTGTCTTATGAATTCCTTCTGCCCTGTCTGTGCATAGAGGTGAGCAAAGGAAAAGGTGTGGGCTGTCCATGGCTCTGCTCCTAGGCCCCAAGGTAGTACAGTTGGTCAAGCATATCTCTAGTAAGTCGGGTTTTAAAAGGACTGGGTGTTGCTGGCATGCTTAGGAAGATTGGCGCCAGCTTGGCTGTGAGCCACGTGCTGGGTCAGAGGTGGAAGGATCCTGCTGAACAAACATTGGACCTTCTTAGGGTGATTCCAACCTCAGCCCCAACCAAATCCAGCTTTCCCTGGCTCAGACCTGGCCTCAGCCCACAGAGCCAGAATAGACAGCTGTCATCGCCGTGTGTTCTGAGGAGCCAAGGAAGGAGTGTGTGCATGGCCACTACAAGGTTCTATATGTCCCCCAGTCCTCCTTCTCTCTTTACAAATCTAAGGAACATAGCAGGAAGTTTTCTCTGGACTAGACAGAAAAGGCAAGGGAGATTGTCACCTGCGAGACCTAAGGGAGGGTGCTGGCAGAGACCCAGAGCCATGAGCGATTGCCAGGGTGGATAGCAGGTAGGCATTTGGGTATTCCAGAGTCAGGAGCTGACACAGAGCACTGGGTACCTTGGGGATGGCTGAGAGAGGAGGTCAGAGGAGGCCAAAGCTGAGAAATGTGACTTCAGGATTTCCCTCTTTCTGGGGATAGTTCTCTTTAGGAGGAAGAGGAGTCAGCCCCTCACTTGCTGATCTCTCTCCTATGTTCTGGAGTTCCTCCCCACCCTTGTCCCCACCCGACATTGCCCACCTTGTTCAGTGCCTAGCCTGCTCAAGCAGCTTGTTTCACAATAACGTAAAGCCGGAATGAGTTTTAGGTCTGAGCGAGATTGGAAAAGCCTTTCCTCTGACCCTTCCCACCTGTTCCCCTGTTCCCCCAGGCATTCTACCTGCAAGAGGACACTGTGAGGCACAAAAGATGTCCCTTCCAGAACTGGCCAGAAGCCTGTGAGTGTGGCTGACATGCACCCTTGTGCATGTACACACCCTCTGTCCCTGTCTCCTACACACACACATAAACACCCTTCACACCTGTGTTGGTGGAAGCCCCCAGAAGGTACGCAGGTACTTTCCCTGGAGTCAGTGGGGGAAAAGGGCTGCCAAGTCTACCATTCAGCTTGCCAATAGATCAGAGAGTGCTGAGCACTGCAGCACTGTAAGAAGTTTAGAAATCTGAGGCCTAGGAGATTCTGCTGTCCTAAGAGGATGGGCCAGAAGACCCGGTTCCCATCCCAGTTCTGTCAGTTGTTCTCTGAGCCTCACTTTCCTCATCTAAAATCTCAATATCTGCTCTGCCTTCAAAGTTTTTGTGAAGCTTGAGTTAAATATTACATGTGAAAGTGGACATTGATATCTGAAGTGCTGTATTCAAGTTGTTTTTCTCAAGGAGAGGCAGGACACTCAGACACAAGTGATCACACAAAACAGCTTACAAAACTTACAGGGCAGGGTTATAAATAAGGATTAGGCTGTAGGGCAATAACTCAGGAAAGGGAGAAGCCTAAGAAGGGCCATTGTAAGCAGAGAAGACCTCTTAGGGGAAGTAAGTGGCACCTGAGCTGGGGTCAGAAAAAGCAGGATTTGGAAACAGAGAGATAGGAGGGGAAGGCATTCCTGGGTCTGAGAGGACCCTAAGCAGATTTCGAGTTTGGGGAGAAGCAAGGAGCTGGCCAGAATGTAGGCCTGGGAAGGAGAGGAGAGAGACAGCTGGATAAAAAGATAATGAGGCCAGACGCAGTGACTCACACCTGTAATCCCAGCACTTTGGGAGGCTCAGGTGGGCAGATCATCTTAGGTCAGGAGTTCAAGACCACCCTGGCCAACATGGTGAACCCCCATCTCTACTAAAAATAGAAAAAATTAGCTGGGTGTGGTAGTGCATGCCTGTAGTCCCAGCTACTTGGGGGGCCGAGACAGGAGAATCGCTTGAGCTTGGGAGGCGGAGGTTGCAGTGAGCTGAGATCAGGCCACTGCACTCCAGCCTGGGCTATGGAGTGAGACTGGAGTGAGAATCTGTCTCAAAAACAAAAAACAAAACAAAACAAAACAAAAACAGAAAGATAATGAAAGGAGGCTGGGCACGGTGGCTCACACCTGTAATCCCAGCACTTTGGGAGGCTGAGGCAGGTGGGTCACGAGGTCAGGAGTTCGAGACTAGCCTGGTCAACATGGTAAAACTCCGTCTCGGCCGGGTGCGGTGGCTCAAGCCTGTAATCCCAGCACTTTGGGAGGCCGAGGCAGGTGGATCACAAGGTCAAGAGAACGAGACCATCCTGGTCAATATGGTGAAACCCCGTCTCTACTAAAGATACAAAAAATTAGCTGGGCATGGTGGCGCATGCCTGTAATCCCTGCTACTCGGGAGGCTGAGGTAGGAGAATTGCCTGAACCCAAACCCAGGAGGCGGAGGTTGCGGTGAGCTGAGATTGCACCATTGCACTCCAGCCTGGGTAACAAGAGCGAAACTCCGTCTCAAAAAAAAAAAAAAAAAAAAAAACCCGTCTCTACTAAAATTACAACAATTAGCTGGGCTTGGTGGAACATGCCTGTAATCCCAGATACTGAGGCATAAGGATTGCTTGAACCTGGGAGGCAGAGGTTGCTGTGAGCCTAGATTGGACCACTGCACTCCAGCCTGGGTGAGAGAGTGAGACTCTGTCTCAAAAAAAGAAAAGAAAAAGAAAAATAATGAAAGGGATGCTCATTGCTTGAATACCTGTTCAGGCCAGGAATAGTGCTGGTTACTTTTGCAAACATCATCTTCAGCTGACCCCAGGATGTGGGTGGCAAGGTAGGGCTGCAGCAGGGCTGATCCTCACCCACTGACCCTGACACCTTTCCAGATGGCTCAGACTTCTGGAAGTCAGTGCATTTCACTGACTACAGCCAGCACACTCAGATGGTCATGGCCCTGACACTCCGCTGCCCACTGAAGCTGGAAGCTGCCCTCTGCCAGAGGCAAGACTGGCATACCCTTTGCAAAGACCTCCCGAATGCCACGGCTCAAGAGTCAGAGGGGGTGAGGATGCCTCCTGCCCCCCACAGGAATAGGGTGGGCAGGGCTGGGGCCCAGGGATTTTCTCCTTGACAAATTCTCCTCTCCTCCCACAGTGGTATGTTTTGGAGAAGGTGGACCTGCACCCCCAGCTCTGCTTCAAGGTACAACCATGGCTGAGAAAAGATGTGGGAATACTGGATACTGCCTGGACTTGCTAACCTGTGCTTTCTGTATTTCTCAGTTCTCTTTTGGAAACAGCAGCCATGTTGAATGCCCCCACCAGACTGGTGAGCCTACAAGGGACATCTGCCAGGAGCTCCTGCCCCATTTCATCCTCACCCAACTGTGACCAAGCTAAACCCTAGCCCAGTCCTGAATTCATCACCTGAAGCCCAGCTCCTATCAACCTTCCCCACTCCACCCCAAACAGGGTCTCTCACATCCTGGAATGTGAGCATGGATACCCAAGCCCAGCATCTGATCCTTCACTTCTCCTCAAGAATGCATGCCACCTTCAGTGCTGCCTGGAGCCATGAAGACTTGGGGCAGGACACTTTGGTGCCCCCCGTGTACACTGTCAGCCAGGTATGGCCTCGCCCTTACTAGGTCCTATTGCTCAGAGCACAGCTCCCAATTTCCTTGTCACCTCATTGAGATGGACCCTGGAACGGTAGAAACAAATCCCTGACTCCTACCATCTGGTTACTTTATTTACATAATCAGCCTTCGTTCTGCTGACTTGCTGACAGTTAGTGGGGTCCTCAAGGAAACAGTTCCTAATCCTTTCAGTTTCTGAATTTATAGGAATAACAGAGGCAAGGGACTGGCCCTCCCACATTCAGGTATTCTCTAACCCAGGGGTCCCCAATCCCTGAGCTGCAGACCAGTACCCGCCTTTGGCTTGTGAGAAACTGGGCTACACAGCAGGAAGTGAATGGAGGGTGAGCCAGCGTTACTGCCTGAGCTCCGCCTACTGTCAGATCAGTGGCTGCATTAGATTCTCATAGGAGCACAAACCCTACTGTGAACTGCACATGCAAGGGATCTAGGTTGCAAGCTACTTAAAAGAATCTAATGCCTGATGATCTGAGGTGGTTGCATCCTGAAATCATATCCCACCACCCCTGATCCCAACCCCTTCAACCTGTATAAAAATTTTCTTCCATGAAACCAATCCCTGGTGCCAAAAATGTCAGAAACCACTGCTGTAGCCCACCCAAATAGCATTTTATATTGATGCCTTCCCTTGAACCCAGCTGTCCACTACCACTGCTCTCCTGCCTCCACGAGGCACCTGTGCAGATGTTCTCCATCCCAGGAGACAGAGCCCAAGCAGCTGACGGGCTCTTTGCACAATCCTGTAAACTATTGACAGATTTCACCTGTTTTGTGGACTAGGCGCAGTTTATCAGACTATCTATTCCATGTGTCTAATATAAAAACCACAGTCAAATACACCCTCAACACTACAGCACCAAGCTGACTAAGCATGACTAGCTCTTTCCAGTTCTTAATGCTCACTTGCAACTTACTTGTTTGTTTTACAGTGTATGAGCGCTCCCAAGCAGACAGGTGATAGCAACACAATATGTAAGACTAAATCATGCTTAAGATAGCCGGGTGCAGTGTCTCACTCCTGTAATCCCAGCTGAGGTGGGAGAACTGAGTAAGGCCAGGAGTTTGAGGCTGCACTGAGCTATGATCATCCCCCTGTACTCCAGCCTGTGTGATAGCATGAGACTCTGACTCTTAAAAAAAAAAAAGTTTTTAATTAAAATTCTATCCAATTCAGGATGCTTTGTGCCCACCCTGTAGCAGGCTCTGGGAGATACAAATATATAGCAATTAAGGAGCTCACAGATTAATAATAGCTGTTACCAATAAATGAATATACATACATTGTGTTTATTTAAAAAGACATTCATGTGCCTTTACCCATCTGATGCTCTCAATAATCCAGTAAAATAAAGATTACTACCCCCCATATAAAAATGAGGAAAGTACTCAGGTGCAGTGGTTCACACCTGTAATTCCAGCATTTTGGGAGGCTGAGGTAGGCAGATCACCTGAGGTAGGAGTCTGAGACCAGCCTGGCCAACATGGCATAACCCCATTCGACTAAAAAATACAAAAATTAGTGTGGTGGCATGGTGGCGTGGTGGCATGCACCAGTAATTGCAGCTATTCAGGAGGCTGAGGCAGGAGAATAGCTTGAACCAGGGAGATGGAAGTTGCAGTGAGCTGAGATTGTGCCACTGCACTCCAGCCTGAGCTATTGAGCAAAACTCTGTCTCAAAAATAAATAAATAAATAAAAATGAGGAAAGTGAAGCTTAGGAAAGAGAGGTATCCTGTCTCCCTGCAAAGACCACATAGCTAGGGAATACAAAGGCAATAGCTAAGCCTGAACCCAGGTCTCCTGACCCCCAAAACTTATGTTCTTTTTGTTGAGACACAATTTCACTCTTGTTGCTCAGGCTGGAGTGCAATGGTGCAATCTTGACTCACCGCAACCTCTGCCTCTCAGGCTCGAGTGATTCTCCTGCCTCAGCCTCCCAAATAGCTGGGATTACAGGCATATGCCATCACGCCCGGCTAATTTTGTATTTTTAGTAGAGACAGGGTTTCTCCATGCTGGTCAGGCTGGTCTCAAACTCCCGACCTCAGGTGATCTGCCTGCCTCAGCCTCCCAAAGTGCTGGGATTACAGGCGTGAGCCACTGTGCCCGGCAAAACTCACATTCTTTTCAATGTGATACCTTGTGATACCTTTTCAGCTGTGCAGGAGAGTAAAGTGAGGCAGCAGATAAATTAGCCTCCCAGGTTTCTGAGCCACTAGAGGACAGAGACAATGTCTGTACCCTCCTTTTTTCCTCAGGGCTTGGCACAGAGGACATACTCAGAGTCTGTCTATTGACAAGTGCTTGACTGTAGCAGGAGCTGAGCTCTGGGAAAGATCAGTGGGAGCCAGAGTGGCTGGGGAAGCCTTTTTGTCAGAGGTGGCACTTGGCCTAAGCTTCATAGGATGGTGGGGTTGGGGTGTGGTGGGGAGGAAAAGCAGGGGCAAAGACCTAAGGCCGGACAGGGCCAGATCCGCCTCCCTGGGGACAGCCTTTCTGCTCTTTGTTTCTACAGGCCCAGAGCTCAAGCCCGGTGACACTAGACCTTATCATTCCCTTCCTGAGGCCAGGGCGCTGTGTCCTGGTAAGAAAACCTACCCTCACTCTACATACAGAGTCCTGGCTTCTACTCCCCCAGCAGCACCCACCCAAGGAAAATCCATTCTGCAAAAATGTTTGGTTTGGCCACCATAGTGATTTAAACCGAAATTGTTTACCACTATTTACCCTAACTATTACTAATATTACCACTATTACGCATATATAAACAAAGCTGGATTTCTGGCTTCTGTTGAAAAATCCGAAAACCTGGTGCTGTGTGTCCACATTCTGGAATGGCAACAATGCCTGGAGCTCAGTGCTGTCTGATTGTTTCAGTCAGGGCCTGTGCTCTCCAGGTCCTCACAGCAGCCTTGGTCAACTTTGAGTTTACTTTTCGAGTTTGGCCCCCTGTTTGGCCCCTGTCACACTGGAGTTTGCCACCCTTGACCTGTTCTGTGCCATGCCAGGAGCTGGAGCAGACACAAACCCATCCTAGAAGAATTCCCTAGCCAGTGCAACTCCCCTCTCCCCCAGCTCCATGCTTCACTTAGCTCCTCTGGGAGGAGAAGATGCCTGACTCACAGAGGTGTGGGGCTCTGTGCCCTTAGGTGTGGCGATCAGATGTCCAGTTTGCCTGGAAGCACCTCTTGTGTCCGGATGGTAAGTTCTTGGGGTGAGGGAGATAAGAGGGAGGTTGGACACTGAGGAACTGGATGGGCCTCACCCTACTTGACTCAGTCTCTAACAGACACCTGGGGCTTTTGATCCTGGCACTGCTGGCCCTCCTTGCCCTACTGGGTGTTGTTCTGGCCCTCACCTGCCGGCGCCCACAGTCAGGTAAGCTCACCAAAGTCATACCTGCCCAGCTCCGAGGCTAGCTGTTCCCTTACCCTCCCGTCTGAGCTTTCTGCACTCCACCCGGTCTCTGTTACCCAAGCAGGGAGCCTCTGGTACCCAAGTGGGCAGGAATGGTTAAGGTAGGGCAAAGGGACCCTTGAGCCGATTGTCACTATACGGAGTCTGTGGACAAAAGGCTAGTGGGGCAGAAATCCAGCCTGCGCTGTACTTATCTAGCCTGGAGCCCTGGCCCTCTCTTTGGAAGGGGCGTCTTTATCTAATTAGTCCAGGGGCAACCTATAGTCTAGGGCTGCTTTGTGTACCAACCGCCAGAACAAATAAGGGGTGAAGGCGAGAGGTGAGCACCCTATGGTATCCTGAGAGACTGGGGAGGAGAGGGCTGAGCTATCCCTCACCTCGCACCCCTTCATCTGTTGCTCCCCGCCACCAGGCCCCGGCCCAGCACGGCCAGTGCTGCTCCTGCACGCGGCGGACTCTGATGCTCAGCAGCACCTGGTGGGAGCGCTGGCTGAACTGCTGCGGGCAGCGCTGGGCGGCGGGCGCGACGTGATCGTGGACCTGTGGGAGGGGAGGCACGTGGCGCGTGTGGGCTCGCTGCCGTGGCTCTGGGCGGCGCGGGAGCGCGTGGCGCGGGAGCAGGGCATGGTGCTGCTGCTGTGGAGCAGCGCCGGCCTCCGCCCCGCCAGCGACCCCAACCCCCGCACCGCGCCCTTGCTCTCCCTGCTCCAGGCTGCTCCGCGCCCGCTGCTGCTGCTCGCTTACTTCAGTCGCCTCTGCGCCAAGGGTGACATCCCCCAGCCGCTGCGCGCTCTGCCGCGCTACCGCCTGCTGCGCGACCTGCCGCGCCTGCTGCGGGCGCTGGACGCGCAGCCTTCCGCGGAAGCCACCAGCTGGGGACTCCCCGGGGCGCGGCAGCGCTGGCGGAGCCGCCTAGAGCTGTGCAGCCGGCTCGAGCGAGAGGTCGCCCAACTCGCAGACCTAGGTTGAGCAGAGATCCACCGCAGTCCCGGTTGTCTGCAGCCACAACGTAACGGGAACCCCTGAATGAACCTTGGATCCTGGAATCCTTGGGGTGCCCCAGGGACGACTGGCCTTAAAGCTTTATTCCCTGCCTCCAAGGCCGAAAGTCCCAGCCCAGTCCCCGCGCGTGTCCCTCTTCCTCCTCATACTTTCCCTTGACAGAAAGCTCCCTAATCCCTGTTCTGATAGAGGAGGGCGGGCTTCCCACTTCCTCTCCAGAACTCCAGAAGGAGCAGTGTGCTTAAGCTCCAGTCCAGGCTGGAGAGGTTGGACCCGGGGTAGGTGAGGCAGGAGCCATGTCAGTTCTGAAGGAGGGTTGGCTGGGGCAGGTGAGAGAAAACCTCCTTGGGCCCCAGGGAGTCCCTTTCCCACACTGAGGCTCTGCCCAGAGGGAGAGAGGACTCCGGACCTAGGAAAAGAGGCTTTTGGCTCTGGGTGGTCAAGACAGTGGGGACTGGTGATGGGGTGGGTGGGTGCTGGCGGGGGACTAAGATCCGAAAAGATGAATAAAGAGAAACAAACATGACAAACTGGAAAACATAATGGGCCTCTCTATTGGGGCTGGGATCCACAGGAGACTGCCTGGGGGTATGTGTCAGTACGTGGGTGCAAATCCTCAGTAGCCACACTACATGGCATCTATCACATTCTTACAAGCAATGCCTCCAAAAGCAAAGGAGGATGGGGCAATCTCCTTGATCCCTCCAGTGATTCTTCCAAAAGGAGAGAGGAAAACAGAGGCTTTGCCAGGTGGTATGTCCATTGTCACACAACCCGCCCACAGCAACAGTACAGATGGGACCCCTGTCTGCCAGTCTCTGGGTCCTGGGTTCCTTTTAGCCCCCATACCACATTTGAGCCTAGGCCAGGTAGTGGTGAAAAGCCCACTTTCTGGTGCCCTTTTGGCTGTGCTTTTAGAGTGCCTGTCCCACAAAGGGTCACTGAGGCCCAAGGAGTGTGTGAGGGGACCGAGGGTGCCGTAAGGGGAGACCTAGTGGGCCCAGGACCCCAGGGCTGTGTCCTCCTTAGGGCTTCTGGAGTGAGTAAGAGCTCCCTTACTCAGCCATGATGCATTCACTGCCTTCTTCAGGGGCCCCTCCCAGCCAGGTGTCAGCAGAGAGGGAGGAGAGCCAAAAAAGGAGGAGGTACGGGCACCACACTAGTCCAAGGTTGCTGGCTCCCAAGCCTGGTGTTGGTGGGAGGGACAGAGGGGCGGGAACAGCCGGTTGCCTGCCGGGAACCAAAACGAAAGCACTCCAGGCTGGAAGTAGGACGAGAGTCTGGACTCCCAGGAGAGGGAGTGCACAAACTCTCCAGATCGGCCCCCACTGCCTCCTCTGGAGGCTGGGGAAGGATTCCAGCCCCTGCCACACACAGACACGGGCTGACTGAGGTCAGGGGTCAGGTGTCTGCCCCCCTTGGGGGGGCAGCACAGGACCTCAGGCCTGTCTGCCGCCTGGAACCTGGAAGATGCCTGTACCCTGGCTTTTGCTGTCCTTGGCACTGGGCCGAAGCCCCATGGTCCTTCCTCTGGAGAGGCGTGTGGGGCCTCAGGACGCTACTCACTGCTCACCGGTGAGTCTGGAACCCTGGGGAGAAGGGGGAAGGCCCAGAGTTCAGTTTTTGGCTCAGCAAAGCCCTAGCCTGGCTCCTGTCACTGGTGCCACTGCCAGAACTGCCCTGTCTGGTCTGTCTGGTGCTGATGGGAGAAGAGAAGAATGGGGAAGGGGCAAGAGCTGGGTCTTTCTTCTTCTGGGAGGGTCTGGGAAAACAGAATTCCAGAAAAAGATAAGTGGAGGTGTCAGGCAGAGAACAGTGCCTACATGTGGGGGCACAAACTCTGACTCTCCTTTCCCTCCTTCCCAGGGCCTCTCCTGCCACCTCTGGGGTGAGTATCCCTACTTTTAAAAACAATTTCCAAGGCTGGCTGAAGGAAGCAGAGCTGTCTCAGGCCCATGGCAACAGCCAAGGAACTTGGCTCTCCTGGGTATGTCAGGTGCCACCAAGTTCTGGGCTCAGAACAGCTTCAGCTGAGGTGTTCCAGGCTCACCTCAGCCCAGGAGAGCCAAGTCCCTTGGCTCTCTGGGTATGTTAGGTGCCACCAAATTCTGGGCTCAGAACAGCTTCAGCTCCCATCTACCCCTCCACATACAGACGATGACATACTCTGCCTGCCTGGGGACGTCATGCCTGCTCTGGGCCCCGTGCTGGTGCCTACACACCTGCAGACAGAGCTGGTGCTGAGGTGCCGCAAGGAGACCAACTGTGACCTCTGTGTGCGTGTGGCTGTCCACTTGGCTGTGCATGGTAAGCAAGTCATCCTGTGACAGTGTGTGTGTACATGTGAGCATGTCTGGGGTGGGCATGAGGGCCAGGGGATCTCTCAGGCAGTGCTGGGCATCCTCAGTGTTCTCCTGGAGGACACTGGGAGAAGGACCCCCAAGCCAACGTGGTCTCCCCAGCTCCTGCTTCCCAGCACTGGGCTTTCCAGAAGGAAGCCAGTGCCAAGACCAGTACAGAGCAGGGGCCCTCACCTGGAGCTTTGCTCTTGCGTCCTTCTAGGGCACTGGGAAGAGCCTGAAGATGAGAAAAAGTTTGGAGGAGCAGCTGACCCAGGGCTTGAGAAGCCTAGGAATGGTGAGGAGAACTTGGCTGGCCCAACTGCCCCATGCCAAGGCCTGGCCTGCCGCTCCTAGGCCTGACCGATCCCTGCCCTGTTGCCCACAGCTTCTCTGCAGGCCCAAGTCGTGCTCTCCTTCCAGGCCTACCCTACTGCCCGCTGCGTCCTGCTGGAGGTGCAAGTGCCTGCTGCCCTTATGCAGTTTGGTCAGTCTGTGGTATGCAAAATAATAACCACCTTCTAAACCTAAAATCTATAAAACACTTTCACATGCATTATCTCTTTGAGTATTACGAAAGAATTAAATGTATTGAACCCTCTCAGTTCAATAAATTACAGCCAGTATTTTACAGGTATCAACTTATTTAATTCTCAAAACAGCCATGTGAGGTAGGACTATTCTTTTTATTCTGATCAGTGCTGTGGGCAAGCCCCTTCAGCCTGATATGCCTCAATTTTTATGTCTTTAAGATGGGGATAAGAATAGTCCTACTTCGTATGCTTGACTGTGAGAAAACACCAAGCAGTTTTCCAGGGTACTGCTACTATTTCAACCTCTCCCAGCAGTGGATGGGAGTTCCAGTTGCTTTCCATCTTTGCCAACACTCAGTGATGCAATTTTATTTTGTTTTTAAATTAAATATATTTGAATTATATATATATGGGACCCTTCATGAATTTGCATGTCATCCTCGGGCAGGGGCTGTGCTAATCTTTTCTGTATTGTTCCAATTGTAGTATATGTGGAGCCAAAACAAGCATAGGTGTTATAATAGTAATAATTTTACTGCATATGTGCTGGTTTATCATTGTGGTTTTAATTTGTACCTCCCAATGACTGATGAAGTTGAGCACTTTTTTCACATGCTTATTGGCTGTTAGTGTAACTTCCTTGTGAAATATCTCTTAAATTTTTTGGGGGCCACATTAAAAAAATAGTCCCACCTCACATGGATGTTGTGAGAATTAAATAAGTTGAGGCCTGTAAAACACCGTCTGTAATGCCTGGCACTGAAGGGTTTCAGTAAATGTAATTCCTTTGTAATCCTTAAAACTACCTGATGAACTAGGCATTATTATGATCCTCATTTCCCAGATAGAGAAAGTGAGGTTTGGAGAGAGGAGATCTGTGGGCTGGATGCACTTCTTTGTACTCTTGGACCAAAAGAAGAGTCCTGCCATACATACCATGGTGTACATACCATGGTGTAAGTATCATGATGTAGGGTGTTGGGGCTTCTCCCTGCCTCAGGAGGACACATATGCTTGGAAGATCTATTTCCAACCTGGTCAAATCACTCTAACCCTCTGGCTTCCCCTCCAACCTCCAGCTCCCAGCTGATATCTTTTTATCTAGATAATTGTAGACTGGGAGAACATCTGCTTGGCCCATGTCACAAGCAGTTGTGAGGAACACTGAGGCACTCGGTCGAGGGTGAGAACCACTTCTGTGGGGAGGGGTGTCCCATGCTGCATTGGGGTGTCTCATCTCCTTGGCTTTGGCCAGGTGATTAGCACAACAGGGTTGGGGCAGGGATTTAAATGGCTAGGACCTTTTCCCACCCTGGTGACCACTGAGGACATGTGCTTTCGAACTGAGGCTCCTTAAAGGAACGGTGAATGGCAGATTCCAGCCTATATGGTATAAATACAGTCATTGGTTGGGAGAGAAGGGCAGTGAGCAGAGTGGTCCCTGAAGATGATCCCACAGCCTTTGGCCTGGATTCTGAGCCCTGCACCGCCAGCTTTCCCTACTGTCTCCTCACAGGGCTCTGTAGTATATGACTGCTTCGAGGCTGCCCTAGGGAGTGAGGTGCAAATCTGGTCCTATACTCAACCCAGGTACGAGAAGAAACTCAACCTCACACAGCAGCTGCCTGGTAAGTGGACCCCGAGTCCTGGCCCCCTACCCTCTGTCCTCTCTGGCCACTCCCCTCCTGCTTTCACCCTCTTCTAGCTCCATCAACACTCAGGCAGGGGTCTGAACTGATATCCTTCCCAGAGTCAGTCCCTCGGGCTTTCTCTCCCTGGGTGATATGGCTTTCCAGCCCCTAGGGAAGGTGTTCTGAGCATCGGATAGATGTGGGTGGTATCTAGGGGATGGGGAGCCCTTCCTAATTCCCCTCTGGAAGCCAGATTGCCCTTCATCTTTCTTTGGCCCCCAGCCCCACCGGAGGCTCTTCTGTGATCTCTCCCCAGACTGCAGGGGGCTCGAAGTCCGGAACAGCATCCGGAGCTGCTGGGGTAGGGGATAGGGCAAGTGGGCTGGGAGGAGGGAGGGGCAGGGTCTGGAGTGTGAGAGAACCTTGGAGTCCATTTCAGATATGGGCTGCCACAACTCAGAAGCTCATAGAACACATTCATTCATTCATAACACATTAATTGCAGTAGCTGCTACTCTGTGCTAAGCCCTGGAAATAGATGAATCTTGGGTCAGGCTCAGTGGCTTATATCTGTAATCCCAACACTTTGGGAGGCTGAGGTGGGAGGATCGTTGAGCTCAAAAGTTCAAGACCAGCCTGGGCAACATGGCAAAATCCCATCTCTACCAAAAATACAAAAATTAATTGGGCAGTGGTAGTGTGCATCTGTGGTCTCAGCTACTCTGGAGGCTGAGGCAGGAGAACTGCTTGAGCCTGGGAGATAGAGGCTGCAATGAGCTGAGATTGCAACACTGCACTCCAGCCTGGGTGACAGAGCAAAACTCTGTCACAAAAACAAAAACAAAAACAAACAAAAACTTGAAATAAAAGCTAAGAAAGTCAAGGGTCTGACTTTTTGCCCATGTGCCATTTGGATTTTGTTTGGGTTTTGTATTTTCTTTTTTATTGTGTATAACATAACATACATACATTAAAGTATGTAAAATGTACTAATTTTCATGTCCAGTTCAATTCATTTTTATATATTTATATATTTGCATAACTAGCACCCAGATCAATATATAAATACTGTGATGTTTTCTGAACTATTAAATTTTTTCCACTTCATTTTCTTTTTGGCTTTTTAAAATTAAACTTAGTCTGCATTCTTAGCAACTCAATTAGAGACACTCAACACCAGAGTTTTGAAAATACAGATATATATCATGCATTTCATTTCTTCCTTCATTCAGTAGACATTGATTCATTTATTCAACAGATATTTATTGTGTAATTTCTGTGTATCAGGCAAATCCCTCGACACTGGAAATATTAAGAAATCAATAAATCAAGATAACAAAAATCCCACCCTCATGGAGCTGGGTGTCAGGGTGAGGGTGGGGGTGAGCAAGGACATGACAAACACATAGAGATGTGAATAATGCAGTAAGTTAGACTGTGATTAGAGATAAAGAGAAAGTTTGCAGAAGGGGGAGAGGTAGGTTGGGAGTTGCAGAAGTCAAGGATGGCCTCACTCTGGTGAGCAGAGACCTTAAAGAGGTGAGGGAGGAGCCATGTATCTGAGGGAAGAGGATTCCATGCAGAGAGAATAGCCAGTGCAAAGGGCCTGGGGTGGAAGTGTGTCAGGGGTATTTAAGAAATAGTAAGGAAGTCCTTAATAACTCTGCAGCAGAGTTAAGGACACAAGTGCCATATGCTGTGCGTGGTGGCTCACGCCTGCAATCCCAGCACTTTGGGAGACTGAGGTAGGAGGATCGCTTGAGGTCCAGAGTTCAAGACCAGCCTGGCCAACATGACAAAACCCCATCTCTACTAAAAATAGAAAAGTTAGCTGGGCACACCTGTCATCCCAGCTACTCAGGTGGCTGAGGCAAGAGAATTGCTTGAACCCAGGAGGTAGAGGTTGCAGTGAGCTGAGATCATGTCATTGCACTCCAGCCTAGGCAACAGAGCCAGACACCTCTCAAAAAAAAGGACACAAGTGGCGAAAGCTGAGGTCAGAGGTCACAGTTCTGACCAGAGGAAAAGGACTTGTTTTAAAGAGGTTACAAGATCTTTCTGGCTGCAGAGGGAGAAGCAGGGAGACGAGCTGTCCTCAGACCACATACTGGAGCCTCCTCTGGCTTGGCTCTGGGCAGTTACTAGAGACAAAGTCTGGTTTGAGATGAGGACACAGGCTCTGCCCTCCAAGAGCCTTCCAGTCTAAAGAGTTTGAAGGAAACTCCAAAGGATCAGTCAGGTCTGCAGAAGAGGTGAGGAAGTCTAAGCTGTGCTGTATTTGCCTCTTCCACCAGCCCTGCCCTGGCTCGACGTGTCTGCAGATGGTGACAATGCGCGCCTCGTCCTGAATGTCTCCGAGGAGCAGCACTTCAGCCTCTTCCTATACTGGAAGCAGGTCCAGGGTCCCCCAAAACCCTGGTGGCAAAAAAACCTGGTGAGGCCGCTCCCTTCCCAAGTCCATTCCCACTATAGGGTGATGCCCATGAAAAGGACTTAGTGCTTTATCAAAGAGGACCCTTGAAGAGGACTTATACCAAGCAAGGGAACACTGGTCGGGGAACTTCTGCCTTCCTGGTTTCCTTGACCTTGGCCTCCTCCTCTTCCTCCTTATTTTCTCCAACCTCCTTCCTTTTGCCTGTTCCACAGACTGGACCACAGATCATTACCTTGAACCACACAGACCTGGTTCCCTGCCTCTGTATTCAGGTAGGAGCAGAGTCCAGCTGGGTGACAGAAGAGGAATGGGAAGATGATGATGGGGGTGACCCCTGCCTTCCTGGTCTCACCATTCTTCAAACCTTTCATTGAGGTGGAGTCTGTGGCTCCCTGGGGTGGCTGGTTCTCCCTTGACCCTTGCTGTCCTATGCCTTCTGTCTGTTACATTCCCAGAATCCTCTCCCTGATCTTCCACAGAACTCCTATTTAAACTTCAGGCCCCATTCAAATGTCATCTTCTCCTTGAAGCTTTTCTCTACTCCTCCACTTCTGTCTTTGTGTTCCCCTGTGGGACACAGCATGTGCTATAAACAGAACAGATCCTCCCACCTTGGCCTCCCAAGTGCTGGGATTACAGGAATGAGCTACTGTGCCCAGCCCTGTTTTCATGTTTTAATGTTTTGTGGAGACAGGCCACCACACCAAGCTCAATCACTTCCTTTCTTATTTGGCATCTTCTTGTACACAACAGATGCTCAATAAATATTATGAAATGAGTGATTTACTAATTTATATACATATTTTATCCTTACTACAAGTGTGAGTTTGTGATTTCCTTGAAGGCAAGCAAAGCATATCTAATTCAAATGTAATAACTTTGCAAGAGCCTTGCACAGTGCCTGGCATATACTGCCTACTCATCGTTTTGTTTTGCTTTGTTTTTAAACAAGGTAACAGTATGAGGGTCCTCACTGTTGAATGGTGAATGAATGAATCTTACTGCCTAGCACAGCCATAGGACACAGCAGATGCTCATGAGATGTTTGCTGTGATTTAAGTGTCCTCATTGCCAAACACAATGCCTGCCACACAGCAGGTGTTTTTAATTAAAGGTTTGACGAATAAATTAATATATTATCTCTAGTGCTTAGCACAGAGCTATGCACATAATAAAAACATCTATTAAAACGTCTATTGAAAGAATAAATGAATGTGTCCTTAGAATCTAGCACATTCCCTGGCACATAGTAGGTGCTCACAAAGTGCTTGTGGAATGAATTCATATTAATTATCCACTGGGCACAGTGGCTCATGCCTGTAATCCCAGCACTTTGGGAGGCCAAGGGGGGCAGATCACGAGATCAGGAGTTCGAGACCAGCCTGGCCAAGATAGTGAAACGCTGTTTCTACTAAAAATATGAAAATCAGCCCAGCATGGT